GGTAAATTCAAGCGAGACGGAACACTTTTTTTTTATAGGTGGTGTTGCATAAAAACCAGACGATTTTGTTTCAAAATGTTCTAAACTGGATTTATGTGGTTATATTAATCTGTGTAAGTTAATACGAGTTAAGAAAAATGTACAACTTGGTGCTGAATAATAATTCAAACTAGAACTAACACTAGCATTAGAACTAGAAATTTGATCATGAAAACTTAAAATTTTTAAAAAGAATATATACAGGGTGATTCACATAATACACATTTTGGCGAATTTAATACGTTATTACCTCATTTCATGTGGAATTTAATTCTAAAATTCTTAGTTTTACTTTTACTTCAATATATATTTATAACAAAGCTCTAATTAACAAATAAAACTAGTAACAATTTGACGTTTATTGAAAGTCAGGTTAAGATAAAAACTTGTTTTCTTCGAAACGGTTAGGATTTAAACAATGAAACTTTTTGAGGTTATAAAGGAAGGTTTGAGGTTGGATTGTGCCAAATTTTAAGATTTGATAGTAAACAGTTCATCATATATCATTGTTTAAAAATCAGCTCATTAATCTGACGTTTGTTAGAAGTGAGGTTAAGAAAAAAATAATTTTCTCCGAAACAATTAGGATTTAAACAATGAAACTTTTTGAGGTTATAAAGGAACGTTTGAGGTTGGGTTGTACCAAATTTTAAGTTTTCAGGACGAATAATTCATGATGTATAAACGTTTAAAAATCACCTCTCTAATTTGACGTTTATTGAAAGTTGGATTAAGATAAAAAAATTGTTTTCTCCGAATCGGTTAGGATTTAAGCAATGAAACTTTTTGAGGTTATAAAGGAAGGTTTGAGGTTGGATTGTGCCAAATTTTAAGATTTCGTAATGAACAGTTCATAATATATCGTTGTTTAAAAATCACCTCATTAATCTGACGTTTGTTAGAAGTGAGGTTAAGAAAAAATAATTTTCTCCGAAACAATTAGGATTTAAACAATGAAACTTTTTGAGGTTATAAAAGAAGGTTTGAGGTTGGGTTGTACCAAATTTTAAGTTTTCAGGACGAATAATTCATGATGTATAAACGTTTAAAAATCACCTATCTAATTTGACGTTTATTGAAAGTTGGGTTAAGATAAAAAAATTGTTTTCTCCGAATCGGTTAGGATTTAAGCAATGAAACTTTTTGAGGTTATAAAGGAAGGTTTGAGGTTGGATTGTGCCAAATTTTAAGATTTCGTAATGAACAGTTCATTATATATCATTGTTTAAAAATTAATCTGACGTTTGTTAGAAGTGAGGTTAAGAAAAAAATAATTTTCTCCGAAACAATTAGGATTTAAACAATGAAACTTTTTGAGGTTATAAAGAAACGTTTGAGGTTGGGTTGTACCAAATTTTAAGTTTTCACCATCCAATTTGACGTTTATTGAAAGTCAGGTTAAGATAAAAAAAACTAAATAAGGTTCACAAACAAAAACTTGTATGTTAGGAATCTCGAGGTTAATTAGGTATTAATTCTCGGTTTTGATGATCTTTTATAATCTCTTCTCCATATCTGATAAATTCAAGGCGAAACATGCCTTTTTATCCATCTATTGTAGCTACTGTATTTATTGTACAAGCCTTCATGTTCTCTAAAAGGTATCTTTTGTTGACAGATTGCTGATTCATCAAGAGTGAATTCTGAGATCTTTCTGCCTCAAATTACATTAATTATCAGCTGTTGGTAAGAATTTAGGAGTTATGAGATAAATTTTGAGTTCAAATTTGTTGCTGAAATGTCTAGGAACTAAGTATAAACTTAAAAATCTAATACTAAGTCTAGTCACAACTTTCTAATATTCCAATCCAAGAAAAAATTAATGCTTTCTCCCAACCCAACCCAACCCAACCCAACCCATCTTCTTCATCTCTCAACTTAATATTACCAACATTCACAACCTAAGTTCAAGCTCAATCCAATCTGATTCTATCCATCTCAACCTTATTCTCGCCCAAAAGTAATGTATTGAAAACTCAAAGCTAACTCAAACATACTCATCCTAATCCATCATCTAACAAATAATTTCCACAACCCTAACCTAATCGTCAACTTTAAACTCAAACACGACTCAAATCCAATCACATCTTTTAGAACATCAATACGAATCTGAACAGAATTCCAACTCCATCTGAATCTGATGCCAAAANCCTATCTAATTTGACGTTTGCTAGAAGTGAGGTTAAAAAAAAATTATATTTCCGAAACGGTTAAGATTTAAGCAATGAAACTTTTTGAGGTTATAAAGGAAGGTTTGAGGTTGGGTTGTACCACATTTTATGTTTTCACGGCGAATAATTCATGATATACAAACGTTTAAAAATCACCTAACCAATTTGACGTTTATTGAAAGTCAGGTTAAGATAAAAAAATTATTTTCTCCGAAACTGTTAGGGTTTAAGCAATGAAACTTTTTGAGGTTATAAAGGAAGGTTTAAGGTTGGGTTGTACCAAATTTTAAGTTTTCACAGCAAATAATTCATGATATATAAACGTTTAAAAATCACCTACATATCTAATTTGACGTTTATTGAAAGTCAGGTTAAGATAAAAAAATTCTTTTCTTCGAAAATTTCATTCCATTACATCAAATCACTTTTTAAAGGATCACTTTCTCAAGATAATCGATAAGGTCACCATTATGCGAGGTTTTAACGTTGATTTGGGTAAGAATTGAGATGAGTTGCATTGAAATGGGTTAGGTTGTAATTTTTGGCATTAGATTCAGATGGAGTTGGAATTCTGTTCAGATTCGTATTGATGTTCTAAAAGATGTGATTGGATTTGAGTCGTGTTTGAGTTTAAAGTTGACGATTAGGTTATGGTTGTGGAAATTATTTGTTAGATGATGGATTAGGATGAGTATGTTTGAGATAGCTTTGAGTTTTCAATACATTACTTTTGGGCGAGAATAAGGTTGAGATGGATAGAATCAGATTGGATTAAGCTTGAACTTAGGTTGTGAATGTTGGTAATATTAATTTGAGAGATGAAGACGATGGGTTGGGTTGTCAGAAAGCATTAATTTTGGCTTGGATTGTAATATTGGAAAGTTGTGACTGGACTTAGTATTAGATTTTTATGTTTATGCTAAGTTTCTAGACATTTCAGCAACAAATTTGAACTCAAAAATTTATCTCATAACTCCTAAATTCTTACCAACAGCTGATAATTAATGTAATTTGAGACAGAAAGATCTCAGAATTCACACTTGATGAATCAGCAATCTTTCAACAAAAGATACCTTTTAGAGAACATGAAGGCTTGTACAATAAATACATTAGCTACAATAGATGGATAAAAAGAAATGTTTCGCCTTGAATTCATCAGATATGGTGGAGAAGAGATTATAAAAGATCATCAAAACCGAGAATTAATTCCTAATTAACCTCGAGATTCCTAACATACAAGTTTTTGTTTGTGAACCTTATTTAGTTTTTTTATCTTAACGTGACTTTCAATAAACGTCAAATTGGATAGTGAAAACTTAAAATAACCCAACCTCAAACCTTCCTTTATAACCTCAAAAAGTTTCACTATTTAAATCCTAACTGTTTCGGAGAAAATTATTTTTGCTTTAACCTCACTTTTAACAAACGTCAGATTAATGAGGCGATTTTTAAACAATGATATATAGTGAACTGTTCATTACGAAATCTTAAAATTTGGCACAATCCAACCTCAAACCTTCCTTTATAACTTCAAAAAGTTTCATTGCTTAAATCTTAACCGTTTCGGAAATATAATTTTTTTTTAACCTCACTTCTAGCAAACGTCAAATTAGATAGGTGATTTTTAAACGTTTATATATCATGAATTATTCGCCGTGAAAACTTAAAATTTGGTACAACCCAACCTCAAACCTTCCTTTATAACCTCAAAAAGTTTCATTGCTTAAATCTTAACCGTTTCGGAAATATAATTTTTTTTTAACCTCATTTCTAGCAAACGTCAAATTAGATAGGTGATTTTTAAACGTTTGTATATCATGAATTATTCGTCGTAAAAACTTAAAATTTGGTACAACCCAACCTCAAACCTTTCTTTATAACCTCAAAAAGTTTCATTGTTTAAATCCTAACCGTTTCGGAGAAAATACTTTTTTTTCCTTAATCTCACTTAGCCGCGCCTGCTTGGTTGTTTTAAAACTAGAGCTAACACTAGCACTAGAACTAACACTAGACTTAGAACTAGAAAGTTTCGGGTTTAGCCGCTCTAGTTCTAGGTCTACTTTTCTTTGTTAATTAGACTTAGAACACACTTAGACACAAGACTTAGAACTAGGTTTAGTGCTGGTTTAGTTAATATAAAGAAATAAACAAAAATTTCTGATAATAAATGGACTGCAAGGTTAAGAGGGCGAAAGCAAAGACGATAATTTATGACTGCACAACTGAATAGAACAGCTCACCCATTCAATCATATGAACCTATTTAGACTAACATCAACATATAACAATACAAGATGTTTACACGATGATTTACAACGTCATAACTAAATAAAATGAGGAATTATTATTATTATTACTATAAGCTTTAAGATTTCGGCAATTAAATCGTCATTAGGAGTTATTAAATGAATTTGACGAGAATTAAACTTGGTATAAATGTCAAATTTGACACATAACTGACGTTTCATAACGTCAATATCGACATTTTAATTAAAATTAAAGTTCACTGTTGCTCAATTTCTCGTGGAAAATTAACTGTAATTAATGAAATTGCTTTTGCTGCGATGTACTACAACCACTAATCATTTTACAAGGAAACTATTAAAAGCACAGGTTTCCCCCTGTCTAAAATACAATTTTCATGCCGAGAAAGGTGCGGGGTTCGTGTTTACGCCGGTTTGTTGCAACGAAAGCTCGATCTCGCTGCGTTCGATTTCTCTTCGCTCCCCGTTTTCGCCCGGATCAAGGTCATCATCCCCCTTTTCGCCCCTTTGTTCCGATCGAAACTTACCCCTATGTACTGGCCGTCGACGAACACCTGTGGCACGGAGATGTGGTCCAAACGCATGCGCTCTTTCACCTCCGCCTGGTAATCGCTGCTCATAAATACATCTCTTTCCTCGTATTTTACGAGAAGTGTCCGCAGAATCTGTTTGACCTTCGCACAGGAATTATAAGTTTCACGAACGATTCCCATTGTTGTCGTGTAAACGACCACTTTTCCTCCATCCTTTTCTTTATAGGTCTAGAATTAAAAAGGATATTATTAGTTTCATGATCTAAATGTTGAGACTTTATGTTTTAACCTAATTCGGTGTGAAGTTTGATTAAATGCATAAATTGTGGAAATGGAGCAAGGTTTTTCAGGACAAGGACGTTGCAGATCGTCCCTGCGGGGTTGAATTTCACCAAATTCTTTATTAAATCGAAACTTATTTGTTGATTAATAATAATTAAAATTAAAATTGGATTAAACCTTTTGGGACATCGCCTCTAATTCTCCCTGTTTAATATTGGCACATGCACGTTTATAATTAAGATCACCTCTTTGATGTTGAGGTCGGGTTAATACGAATGTAATTTTAGCCCGAGTAATTGGAAACACTATTAGTTAGTTTAACTAGTTAACGATTTAGAATCAGATTCAGATCATCCCATTTAGATCATCAAATCAAAAATTTGTTTGAATAAAATAATTGTCTCTATTTTGCTGGTAAATAAATAGAGTGGATAAAATACCTTGGGTACGCCGCTGAATATTGTGGAGGAGATTTAGGTTGGATCCTAAATACGCGCCTGAACTTGATACCGGTGTCTTGAGGATTTCGTAAAAGCTGTTTACGGGGAGAATGGACACGTTGGGAGTTCGGGATTTAAACCTTAATTCCAGATAAATCTCTTCCCCCCAGTGTTCTATCCATATAAGAAATATTAGATATTTTTGGATATTTTCTCCGCGAAACCTACTCAATAGATGTTCATTACAAGATAACTCGGTCTGCAAAGTTTCTCGACGTTGCAAAACTAAAAGGAAAAATTAAAAGAATTTTTTCCTTGTTATTACGTATAATGCAAGAATGTTTAGTGGACACCATATGGGAAATAGGAACTCTTCCATTATAGAACGTACCCAGATGTTAGAGTACAAATTGTCTTCCTCCAGCTTTTATAATTGCGGATCAATAAATAATTTGTAAAAGGTAAACGCAACGAAACGAAATTAAAAAACTAGTTAGCGGTATCACCTTGATAAATAAAAAAATAACCTTGTTTTTGTTATGAAAATATTTCAAATATCCTGAATTTATTAATAATAATTTGCACAAAATTATCATTTTCGATTTATGATTTCTAAAACCCCCTTAGGGGCTGTTTAATTCAGCATAGAATGGTAAATTATGATGCAGAATTTATAAAAATTTTCTTCTTTCATTTCTGGTAAGTTGTATATGCGTGGATATAACAGGAAAATTGCTAAACTTGTTCTCTCTCGACGTCTTTCGCAAGGTGAACGCATTGTAACGAGGTCAACACGAGACAGTTGTCCACAGTTAACCCATTACTATAAACCGCGGAAACCTTCTGCTGTCCGATTAAAACGCGTTCTCTGATTAATTTTCGGTCCTTTATGAAAATTATCAAATCGATTTGTCATCTGATAAATCTTTATTGCTAGAAATAACGGGAAAACTCAACACATCGTTTAATCGAGTTAATAACCCGAAGAGAAATAAATTGGAAATTTTTTTGTTTGTAATTAATAAAAAATTGGGACGCACCAGATGGTTCGATTAAAAGAATAATTCAGGTTAAAATTATATAAAAGAAACGACGATGAAATGGATAACATGTTTCACTTTAAAATAAAACTTTAAGTTACGTCGCATTTTAAACAGACCGTGACCGCGGCTTCTTTAAAGACTCACCTTCTTTGGAAAAGCAAAAAATGTGGTAGACAAGACAAGCTACGTTTTACCTTGTCTTGGAAAGCACGCAACATCGCGACGACAAGGGTATTAAACGACTCGTTTTATTTCAACAGATTAATCGTACCTATACAAAAAAATTATTAAGTTGTTTGAAAAGAAAATTTATGCTAAAAGTTTTTAATCATGAAAAATACTTTGAGATGATAATAAATAACATTTTATCTTAAAATAACTAATAGTACAGGCATTGGGTAGTTTTGCAAAGGAAAAGTTTTACTTGGAAAAAGGTGAACCGCACGTCTAGTAGAATCACTATCAGTAGAACTAAAAGAAGACTTAGAACTAGAATCATTCTTGTTTAGCCGTCTTAAGAGACGTGCGGCCAAACTGGAAATGAAAAGCTAGAACTAACATTAGACCGAGAACTAGAAACATTCGGGTTTAGCCGCACGTTTCTCAAAACGGCTAAATCTGGATGATTCTAGTTCTAGATCTTATGTTAGTTCTAGTGTTAGTTCTAGTTTTAATTCAATAAAAGTATGCAACATAGTGATATCTTATGTTAACTAGCTCTACCTACTACTGTCACTAGAACTAACATTAGACCTAGAACTAGAAACATTCCGACATGTTGCATTTTATGTGATACAATGTAAGTAGGTACGCCCTGGTTTCTATAGAAATATATAGTATATAGTATAGTTCTGTGGGTTAACTTTAATCTGAAATACTTGAGTTTCAATACTTCATTTCTGATAGGAAATCTTTTCTAGATATTGACCAAGAAATTACTAAAATTTCAGATACATTGATTGGCGCATACTAGATAGATTAAGCAAATATTGCAAACCACCATAGTCATTCTGCGTAGGGATGTTATAAACTAGTACAATATGTTCCTGTTTCTAAAAAGTAATAGCTCTAAATACCTGTTAGAACTTTTCCTCTATTATTAGTGATATAGCATAAATCCCCAAAATGTCAAAATAGGATGGGTTTTCTTAATAAAATCAATGATAACCTAAGTATTAAAACTGATGGAGAATGATGTTATGAATAAAAAATATTCCTAATGCATCAATAAATCATGATCCACAGTTATTTCATGTTTATCTGTCACCAGATTCTAGTGATATAGCATAAATGACAATATGTCAAAAAAGGACGATTTTTCTTAATAAAATCAACAATAACTGAAGTACTAAAACTAATGGAGAAAGACGTTATGAATAAAAAAGATTCCTAATGCATCAAGAAATAATGATCCACACTTATTTCATATTTATCTATCACCAGTTCCTAGTGATATAGCATAATTTACAATATGTCAAAATTGAACAATTTTTTTTAGTAAAATCAATGATAACCTAAGTACTAAAACTGATGGAGAAAGATGTTATGAATAAAAAATATTCCTAATGCATCAATAAATCATGATATACAGTTATTTCATGTTTATCTGTCATCAGTTTCTAGTGATATAGCATAAATGACAATATGTCAAAATTGGACGATTTTTCTTAATAAAATCAACAATAACTGAAGTACTAAAACTGATGGAGAAAGACGTTATGAATAAAAAAGATTCCTAATGCATCAAGAAATAATGATCCACACTTATTTCATATTTATCTATCTCCAGTTTCTAGTGGTATAGCATAACTTACAATATGTCAAAATTGATCAATTTTTTTTAATAAAATCAATGATAACCTAAGTACTAAAACTGATGGAGAAAGACGTTATGAATTAAAAAGTATTCCTAATGCATCAAGAAATAATGATCCACAGTTATTTCATGTTTATCTGTCACCAGTTTCTTGTGACATAGCATAAATGACAATATGTCAAAATTGGACTATTTTTCTTAATAAAATCAACAATAACTGAAGTACTAAAATTGATGGAGAAAGACGTTATGAATAAAAAATATTCCTAATGCATTAATAAATTATGATCCGTACTTATTTCATATTTATCTGTCACGAGTTTCTAGTGATATAGCATAAATGACAATATGTCAAAATTGGACGATTTTAAAATCAACAATAACTGAAGTACTAAAACTGATGGAGAAAGACGTTATGAATAAAAAATATTCCTAATGCATTAAGAAATATTGATCCACACTTATTTCATATTTATCTATCACCAGTTTCTAGTGATATAGCATAAGTTACAATATGTCAAAATTGAACAATTTTTTTTAGTAAAATCAATGATAACCTAAGTATTAAAACTGATGGAGAAAGATGTTATGAATAAAAAATATTCCTAATGCATCAATAAATCATGATCCACAGTTATTTCATGTTTATCTGTCACCAGTTTCTAGTGATATAGCATAAATGACAATATGTCAAAATTGGACGATTTTTCTTAATAAAATCAACAATAACTGAAGTACTAAAATTGATGGAGAAAGACGTTATGAATAAAAAATATTCCTAATGCATCAATAAATCATGATCCACACTTATTTCACATTTATCTGACACCAGTTACTAGTGATATAGCATAAATCACGATATGTCAAAATTGACCAATTTTTCTTAATAAAATCAACTATAACATAAGTACTAAAACTGATGGAGAAAGACGTTATGAATAAAAAATATTCCTAATGCATCAATAAATCATGATCCACAGTTATTTCATGTTTATCTGTCACCAGTTTTTAGTGATATAGCATAAATGACAATATGTCAAAATTGGACGATTTTTCTTAATAAAATCAACGATAACTGAAGTACTAAAACTGATGGAGAAAGACGTTATGAATAAAAAATATTGCTAATGCATCAATAAGTTACAATCTGCACTTATTTCATATTTATCTATCACCAGTTTCTAGTGATATAGAATAAATGACAATGTGTCAAAATTGGACGATTTTTCTTAAGAAAATTAACAATAACGGAAGTACTAAAACTGATGAAGAAAGACGTTATGAATATAAAATATTCGTAATGCATCAATAAATCATAATCCACACTTATTTCATATTTATCTATCACCAATTTCTAGTAATATAGGATAAATTACAAAATGTCAAAATTGGACGAATTTTGTTAATAAAATCAACTACAACCTAAGTACTAAAACTGATGGAGAAAGACGTTATGAATATAAAATATTCGTAATGCATCAATAAATTATAATCCAGACTTATTTTACATTTATCTATAACCAGTTTCTAGAGATATAGTATATATCCCCAAAATGTCAAAATTGGACGATTTTTTTAATAAAATCACTTGTAATCTAATTACTAAAACTGATAGACAAAGACATTATGAATAAAAAATGTTTCTTA